TTGCAGGAGTTTTGAAGTTCAGTTATGCGAAGGAGTTTAAGATAACACGAATGAGTCATAGAGTACAATTGCTTCTGGGAGCATACCATATGACATTTCCTTTGAAAAGTGTTGACAAAACGATTGAGATGAAATTTGTTCCATACGTATGTTATGGCAATTGTTTGTACATTGAGTCAAAAATAGCTAATATCACAGGTATTTCAGGAGTTAATAGTAAAGGTTCAGTAGAATATAAGTCTTTCTGTTATGAAGTAAATTCAATGTTCATTCCAAACGTTCCAGTCATAGTAACTCATTTAGGTAAATGGGTTTGCATTAGTCCTCATAATTTGAAAGACATGCAATTCAGACTCGTTGACTTTCAAGGAGAGCCTGTAGTACTGAAGGCACCAGTGCGAATGACTGTTGAAGTTGACTTTTTCGAAAATATTAAATGCAACAGCTTACAAGAGAACTCAGAGCTAAAAATATAAAGTATGAATGTTATGTATTAGGTCATGAACTTTGGTTGTTGCTGTTTGATGAAACAAATGAGTTAGTTATGTCAGTCAAGAGAACAGAAAAATATTGTGTTAGTGAAAACTGCACCAAGTCAATAAGATTAGGTCTACATTATGAAGATGAGTTCGATACTGTTGAAGAAGTTTTGGATAGATATTACAAATTGCTAACTTGAAATTTTTTTGACTGACGGCACAAAGCGCCAAGATGGGCTCAAAGAGCCCTCCTGACTGCTTTAATTTACTAAAACATATTTAAGACAAAGCTTATAGTAAGTAGATAGTTTTGTATACTCGTTCGAATATCTATACTTAAACTCAACTCCTGTAGTTCCTGGTGTTTCAATGATGCGGATGTTACCTATTTTCATGAATATTGGAGTTTGACCACAGCATTCGATTTCAGGGTCGAGATAGTCAATGACACATTGTTTCCCTGTTATTCGTGATATAACATTTTCAAGGTCCTCCTTTGTTAGAATTATTTGGTTCTTGCTTATAAGATTTGTCAAAAGCTTCTTATCGTCTTTGAGTAAAATTGTTTGATACAACTGAAGGAGGTAATGGTCTACGTTATCTGAAGGATTTGTTTGAACATTTGTGTAAGGGTTGTCGTTGGCTTCTCTTGAAAGAATTTGGTCCAGTGGTGGATACTCTAACTTAACATCTGATGTAGCGTTAGCGTTTGAAGCTGAGTTTAAATTCACGGCGTCATGCGCCAAGACCGAAGGCCCGACTTAAGTTCTGGTTCTTTTTCTTTCAAACACTCTGAACTATAGTTCTTTATGACAATATTGTTTGTCGTTCGTGAGTCAACATTTGATGTTGGTTCAATTGGAACATTAACGGCATCAGCTAAGATGGATTTGCTTCTCATTTCATATAGAATAAAAACCTTTTATATGTATGAAATGAACAATATACTCGACAAGGGTTTGAATGTAAAGCTAACGAATGAAAATATTGTTGAATTCACTGAGACATGTGCTGTTTACAAAGATGTAGAACTACTGAACAAAAGAGCTAAGGGAAGAAGCAGGAACATGAACAATGGGTGGAAGCCTATAAAAATTTATGTCAATGATGGCTCAGGAGGTTCAAACATAAAGTATGCAGAAAGTTATAGAGTTTATGCTCTCAAGGGAGAGAAGCCTTCATTTAAGAACAGCTATTCTAACACATATCCTCAAAAGCTAACGGATGGAGAAGTGAATGATATGAATGACAGCAAAAATATTAACAGAAATGGCGACAGAGATGCATGGAATTTGTTTACCATCAGTCAATTGAAGGTTAAGCTTTAAAACAATGTTGGTCGTTCCCATGGAATATTTTTGACTTTAATGGTATTAGTCATGATATGAATCTCAAGGTATGAACGAGGAGAGATGAGAGACTTATATGCTTCCCAAATTTCTTCAAAAGGTAATGTTATACCTGACTGTTTCCAAATGAGTTCAATATCATAACGTGAGAAACCTTGAAAGATAACGAAGTCAGTTATGAGACGTTTTATGTTTAAAGCTAAAAACCTCCACGTCTGCATTAGTATTGCTACAGTTAAGTGGTAATGTCTGACTTTAGTAATGATGTTAGCTAATGGTGAGTCTGGTTTTGAAACTAAACCTTTTCCGGCGAAGTCGTCGCAAACGAGCAGAGTGTTTGAAGGATATTTTTTGAAGGGGTATTTTGAAAGTTTTGACAGAATGTAGTTTGTAAGTCGTTTCATATCGTAAACTCCTGAGTACTGACGTAAGTGGTGTTTGTCAATAATTCTTTCCATCTCCTCAGAGGTCTTTTGCATTCCTGACTGTATGAACTCTACAATAGCATAATATTTCCTCTTACGTCGAATGTAACGTTGAAGAAATTCAATGAGCTCACTGTCTGGAACTTTAACGACAGAGGCTTGAACTTTTGACATGAATGTTTTCGCTGTTGAATCCATAGAGTCTGAAGTTGCTGATATAATGATTTGGTCATAGTAAGAGTCGTTTCCTAAACGCTCTGTTATGAGTATATGACGAATAAGATTAAATGTCTTACCTGACCCCATCTTTCCACAATAGAAATAAACACCATTTGAACAGAACTCATAGTCCTTACTGAAAGGAAGAATGAGAGAAGAGTTAAGTTTGTCGGTGGTTTCGTTCATGTCTTCATCTACGTCGTGAAGTAAACGCTTCATTTTATCTCCATTAAAAATGCAAGTCAGAAATATTCAGAACATAGCACCGAGTCTAACTGACAAGAGTATAAAGATATACTATGAACACGTTATGATGAAACCAACCAAAATTCGAGAAAGTCAGTATACTTATGAATATCCAAGACACTGGGTAGAGTATATAGGAGGTGAGAAAGCTATTGAAATAAGACAGGTTAGAAGTATTCCAGCAGGAAGAACAATATTATTGAAGAACTTTAATGTTTTGAGGTATAATGATGAAACAGAGAAGCAAGATAATTTTCCTGTTGCTGTGTATGTGAACCTAGATACAGGAGATGACATGAAAGTTTTTAACACAAAGCTTCAAACGGTAGTGAGAGAACAACTTACTGCGGAAGGACATCCATTACCTTCAGAAGTTACCATAGCATATAATTTTGAAACAAACTCAATAGATTTTAAAGTCGTCTCTGCAAAGAAGTCAGGTTTTACATTTAATGAAGCAGATGTATATTCGAATGAAAACTTCAAAGCTATTGCATGGTTAGATAATGACGATTGCTTTAAGAAAATCTTTAAATTCAGTGACTCAAAGATGTCAATAGATGACCTTCGTGGAATGTTACCATCGACGTTTACAGTAGAAGGTTCAGCAGGATTGCTTACAAGATTGTCAATTGGAGGCATTTGGTCTCGTGAGAACATTGTTATAAAATCCAGTATAAGTGAATTTGCTGAAGAATCTATATTATGTCTTTCAAACTATATGTATTCGCCGCCGAAGCATTATAGTATAACAAACTTTGTCAGTAAGTTTAATATAAGACTTGTTGAACCTTCTTCAATGAAAGATGTTGTGCTACCCAAAGACGGAAAGGATGGACTCATTATTGAAATGATTTTAATTGCATATTAAATGAGCTTGTTCTTGAAGGTCATTCGTGATGAAATAACTGTTGTAGAAGATGTTAGCAATTGTTCAGACATTTTGAAGCGTATAGATGAGATAAGAAAGAAGTTCGATAGACCGCAAAGCGGTGAGGGCGAAGCCCGTGAGAACGCTTATGTTTCATTGACTTTCTCCAGTAACGAGAACTTTTATGAGATAATATTGAAGAGAGATGATTTTAATATGGTGTAAATGGTAGCTTGGGCAGCTTTAGGCGCAATGGGAACAAAAGCATTAGCATTTGGAGCAAAAGCACTTGGAGCTTATGACGCAGTAAATAAAATGAGTGGAGGAAGAGTTTCGAAGACATTAGATGCAAATAAAGGAAAGATTGGAGGCTGGGTTGCAAAGAAGTTAAGATTAAATAAAATAGGGCTCATAAATAAAGCATCCAATTTGGTTGCGACTGAGTCAGAAAATGCTTTAGGAAAGGACGATGAGTTTGCAAAACACGCAAAAGACTTTAATGACCAGATGAAAGGTGAAACAATGCATTTAAATAGAGTCGATGGAACTAAAGAAAATGTTTCTTCTCCACTAGTAGTTCTTCCATATGGTCCCTATGGAATGTATGGAAACTCTTATGAACGACCATTTGACCCATTGACTGGTGGAAGTAACTGGTATCATTACGGACGAAGAAGAAAGACAGTCAAGTTGGAGACGGATGTAAAGAAAGCAACTAAAAAGAAACCAAGGAAGAGAGTTATAAAGCAATGAATTCAAGAGACCCAAAGGGTCAGAGCCGCAAAGCGGCTAGGGTAGAAATGAGGTTAGATATCGGGTTAGATCTAACCTTTTCAACTAAAATTTATTTTTGCGCTATGTTTTCATACGTGTGGGAGTGGTGATATCATTAATTTTTAAGTTTATTTTTTTATAAATGACAGAACAAAAATAAAGCATTTCTACTCAGCAGGAATGAGACCCTTACTGACTATGTATTCGTTTAATGCTTGATGAAAACAATGGTACATATTATCGTATGGGTATACACAACGTCTGTTTCCATCGTCGTCGTATATGTAGAGCTCAAATCCAGTCCAACCTTCTTTTGTACAATATGTTGTTGCATGCTAAGTTCGGTCAAAATGTAAACCTCTCAATTTTATCGTCGGGGAAAGTAACTCAATTCCTTCAAAATTATTCTTTAAATATTGAATTTAAAGTTATTTAATTTGGATTATAAATAAATAGGCTAATACAATATTTAAAAATGAGAAAAAATAACTTTTCAAAGAACTTTTCATAATCTCAAAGAAAATTATTTATTCAATAATTATATAAATTAATTAACATTCATAATGGAATTGGATTTTTTTATAAAAAATTGGTCCTACTTAACTTTTTGAGAGAATTTGGCTTTTCATTTTTTATTATGAGTAGACCAACCATTCCTTCTTGGTGGTTAATTCAAACACGCGAAAAACTTGAATCTCGCGAACTCAATTATTTAATTGCGTGTAAGCGAGTTCCATACGAGGATGAAATGAAGTGTGAATTTAGATCAATTTCGAAAAACACACTTAAAGCAGCATACACAAATGCAAATTTAACGCCCCCAAACGTTAAACCTGGTCCGGCACCAGATGATATTACTCCTGAAAATTTGCAATATGTTCTCCAAAAATTTCAGGAATATAAGTGCGGAATCCAAAAGATGTTTTGGCGTTTAAACATGGATCAAAATGTTTATTCAGTTTCCTACAATAAACTCAGAAGAATTTACAGTATTTTGGAGATCAAAGAACCAAAAAGTGACAGCCTCCCTCAAAAATATTATACGCCATATGAAGCAACAAAACCTGATACCATATGGCATGTAGATGTTCATTTTTTATACGGTTCACAGAGGTTACCTGTTTATGGTATAATAGACGATAAATCTCGGTTTTTGTTGGCTTTAAAAATTTTGCCAAATAAATCTTCCGAATCTACAACAAGAGTTGCCGAAGAAACGATTGGCTTATATCAAAAGCCATTTTGTTTCTGGTCCGACAACGGGGGAGAGAATATGGGCCAATTTTATAATTGGCTCATGCGAAACAACATTCAAATCCGCCACACTCACCCCCATATGCCGCGCCAGAACGGCAAGATTGAAAGGCTCTGGCCGTCTCTTGAAAGAAATGTCGGCCGGTCTTCAAATGCAAAACAAATTCAAGAATTTCTTGATAAATTCAGGAAAAATTACAACTCAGTACCACATAAAACCCTTCCCAAAAAGGGTTTTCGCCCCATGACTCCAGAAGAGTGTTACAATGAGACACCACATTGGAAACAGGGTGAAACGCCATTTTGGAGAGTTATGATTGATGGACACTTCGAAATCAAAGAAATACCGAACCATTGAATACACAATTACGAATAAACGCTTAATTTTTATAAAAATCTTATTACATTTTTCCTGAATTTTTAAATTGTACAATAAAGATGGAAGGCTTTGGGGTACATATTAATATAATATACCTCAAAGCCTTCCATCTCCACTACAAATGGGAGAAACTTTGTCCGAATAGTTTAACATTCGGACAAAGTTTCTCCCATTTAAAGAAAGAATTGTTCCTTATGAGGTATATATTCATACTGTATACCTCATAAGGAACAATTCCCTCCTTAAAACGAGAAAACTTGTTCGAAATTGTTTATCATTTCGAACAAGTTTTCTCGTTTTTAATAAGAAACTAAAGGCTATGAGGCACTGATTATATATTAGTGCCTCACAGCCTTTAGTTTCTAATAGATAGCTGGGAAACTTTCTCCAAATGATAAGTTATTCAGAGAAAGTTTCCCAGCTATCAAGAGGGAATTGTTCCTTATGAGGTATATAGTTATAATGTATACCTCATAAGGAACAATTCCCTCATTAAAATCGTAGATATTTTTTACTTATTACTCATGCTTTCAAAATCACAATCCTCTGAAAAGTTATTTTTTATTAAGAATTTAGAATTTTGATAAATACCTTTTTTCAATTTGATATAATACTTATATATTTTCAAAAAGACATTTTGAAAAGATATCTCAAAAGTTCTCTGAAAACCTATTTTTGATTAATTTTGAGAAATATCCGTATTAAATTAATCAATAAATTCATTCAACACTACTTTAATTTTTAAATTCAAAAAATTATATGTGCTTCTTAAAATGTCTCACAAAAATTTTATTATAAAATTATATACAATATTAAAAATCCCACAACATTTTTTTACTTTACATAATCGTACTTCCTCGACGATTAATTTCCATTCAATTCCTATCGTTGACCGAACTTAGCATGCAACAATGTAGCTTTATTTAAGTATGCATTTATGTAGATAAGGCAATTTTCTTCATCGCTCCAGAAATAATTTTTGTTCTTTGTTGAAATAGTTTTCGTTCCTCTGCGACCATAAGGAATGTATGCAATGAACTTTGCGTCATATGGGATTGTAATATATTCAGGGTTTCTTTCATCGTCAATGGGTCTGTCTTTGTTAAAATGCATGTTTCTCAGTTTTACTTGAGTTTTGAATAGTTCACGGAAACGTTCTGGGAAAGAGTCATAGTAAATGTAGTCGGACATGTCTTTGTAATGAAATAAAAAATTTTAAAAATAAAAATAAGGTTATTTTTTATTTAGTGAGGACGGTAGTGAATTCGTTAGTGAAGTCGTTAGTGAAGTCGTTTATGTGTCAGATGGTTTTGTAAATATTTAAGGTTAAGTTGGTGTTGTCGTTTGTGTTGTAAAATATACGTTACCGGTTTCGTAAAGTGTCAAACCGTTATCTTGGGTAAGGTGGAACGCAGTGCCACCGTACCGATGATAGGGATACTATTACACCAAAACATTTTCAAAAAGGACAGATGCTAACAATTATGATTTGTGAACCTTCAACAAATCAATATCTACCACTTTTATTTATATTCATGAAAAACCGCACATTTGAATCTTATAAGAAGGCATTTGAATATATTTTTACTGTCAAGGGTATTCAATTTTCAAAGCTAATTCAAATTCATTGTGATTTTGAAAAGGGAATGACAGAGGCACTTCAACAAATTTTCCCTAAAGTCCGTATAATTGGATGCCTATTTCATTTCAAACAAGCTTTACACAGGAAACTTGTAGCACTTTATACAAAAATTTCAATACTTTACAAAATTCTTTATTTAAGCTATATTCTATTACTCCATTCATGTCTCATGAAGAATTTGTACTTACAATGCATATAATTAATCAAAATAAAGTTGATTCGATCAAAGATTATATTGATTATTTCAACAAAGTTTGGTTGCCGCACTACAATTTAATATCTCAATATAATAATGCAACTGCAATATTCACTAATGATTGCCTCGAGAGTATGCATTCAGAATTTTCTTCGTTAAAACATCCAAACATTTATGAAGCTATTAAGAAGATATCTCAAATCCAATTAGATAAATATAACGCCATCAAAAATAACCAGAAGATCGAGCGCCATATAAAAACCGTTATCACTGATAGCTACAAAAATTATATTCTTGACTGCTTTCAAAAAGAACTTGAGAAAACAATTTTTTCTATCAAACAATACAACGTAAGTGATCTTTCTTTGGCTCAGAACGAGATTTCTCCAGATGGTTCCATAGAATCGAGTTCATTGTTCGAAAATATTCCAGTTCATGATGCAGATATACTCAAATCGATCGATCTAACAGATAAAGATACAATGATCACTAAGTTTATTAATGAAAAAAGAGAAAAAATTATGGCATTATTTAATGAAACATTAAATCATCCAGATTTTAATTCATCCACTCCAATTCAAACTAATTTTGAGCAAGCCGATACAAATCAAGGTTCAGATGCTCCAATTCGCTCCGAAAATTCAAATATTGCAGACTCTACAGATTTAGAACCAGAAAATCAAAACCATCCTTCTACAAATCAAATGTCTAGTAATCTAGAACATAAGCTGGACCTTCTTGATCATATTGAAAAACAATTATCGAAAATGCGCTCGTGATTGGGAATTCTTCCTACTACAAATGCTATTGTTGGGCCGTCAAAACAAGTTTCAGTTAATAGCAAGCAAAATTCTGAAAAAAATAAGAAAAAATCTTCCATAACAACAAAATCAAACAATAAAAAACAAAATTCATCCGACAATCCTCCTAAACGTAAAGCTCCTATTTCGGAAAGGATTCTCAGCGATAATAACTTATATTTTCAAGTTCATCGAAAGAGATCGAAAAGCAAACGTTCCACATCTACAGAGAAAAAGAATTGATATATGAAGTCTAATTCCTTTTATAACTACTATATTTTATTCTTATGACTAAAAAATAATATATTATTTAACACTTTTCATTTTTTTCTTTTAACAATTTCGTTTTATTTCCATTTATTGTTAAATGATTTTTAGCATACACCTTTCTTTGTTCATCTTCTAAATACAATTTATTTTTTCTTAGATATAATTCTATTCATTCAATTCGATCGTCATTTTTCAGTACATGATCGTAATTTTCAATTATTGATCGCGATTTTACTTCAGAATTTGTTCGCAATATTGCTTATCAAAATTATATCTCTATTCTCTCATTTCTGTTTAGTCAATATCATTACACTCCTATTGTCTAATAACATGCTATTAATTTTCTTAAAATTAAAAAAAAATAGTAGTATATGTTGAAGGGTTGTGTGACTTTTTTTGTAAACGTAAGAATTCATACAATATTGAACGATTTTGTATCATTTTTTTTAACATATGAAGTAAAAAATGTATGATTCTTACGGTTTTTATTCTTACGTTTTTGAATAAATCAAGATTTAAAAAATTTTCAAAATTGTAAGACATTTACACTCAGCCCATACATAATGAAATAAAAAAAATAAACTTTAAAAATTCATGTCTTACATTTATGAAAATTTATTTTTATTTTGTATGAAACCGATTTTAAAAAATTTATGAATAATTTATAAAAAGTTTTTATTCCTACAATTCCTATATTACCATTAATAAAAAGAATATATTTTATAATAGTTTCATTTCGAACATGTTAAAATTTATCTGCATTTCGAAAAATTTTATTATAAATGATAATATAATTTATTAAATTAATATATAACTTATGAATTTTTACTTTTTGTATGAAATAAAATTTAGTATTAATAAAGTTATAAAATAAATTGGTGCATGTTAGATGTAAATAAGTTTATTATAAAGGTAAACATAATATTAAACCCATTGCTTTTGCATTTGATAATAAATTAATTGAAAATGCAAAAATTTGGGAATTAATTCCAGATATTGAATATATAACGAATATAACTAATAAATGGTTCAAACGAATTCCAACCACAAAAGTTCTTTGTAAATTAATGATCAAAACCGAGGCCAAAGAATTTCATGAATTTACATATCATCCAAATAAAGTTTCAGAACTAGAAAATGAAAAACTTCAGAAAAAATTAAACGATAGACTTTCAAATGATCGTATTGAAAAAATAAATAAACTAGCAGAAGTTGCATTTAATAATGAAATATTTGATGAATATAACCTTGAACTCAGTGATGGGCTTTAAGGACCCGGGCTCAACGAGTCATGATTTATGAAATCAATTATTTGATTCATTCTTTCTTCAATAATTTCTATTCTTTTTGTTAAATCATCTATTTTCATTAATGAGGTGATTCTTGATTGAGGAATAGATTTCAAACTAACCACTCCTTTTATTTTTGAAATTTTGAATCCATCAACTTTAAACATTTTATTCAATTTACACGTTGTCAATTCTTCAAATAATTTTTTATTGTTAGCATAATAGTCATTAAATTCTTCAACAGATGAAAAAAATTTTATTTCAGTAATTGGTTTAACAACGTTTATTTTTTGTTGAACATTTTCACTTTCATTTATTTCTTCCTCCTCTGTTTCATTTATTTTTAAAATTGGTTTCATTTATCATTAAATAAAAATTAGAATATAAGTGATGAAATATATTTTTTAATTAATATTAAATCAGAAATGGCGGCAGGATTCTTTAAAAAATTATGGGAAGGAATTAAGAAAGCTGCGGGTTGGGTTCATCAAAAGATTATTAAACCCGTTGCAAACTTTTTGGCACCAGTAGCGAAAACGGCAGGAACTATCATAGGTGGAGTATTAGGTACTAAAGCAGGTAATCCGGCAATGGGAGCACAAGCAGGTAACGCAATTGGTGGAATAGCTGAAGGAATACTTAATAAAATAGGGGGTAGATAGTGGAAAAATAAATAAATATTATTTTTATCTTAGTATCGGTTGTAGTCTTTGATAAACTTTTTCTCCTTTATTTAAAATTTCTCTTATTGGGGCAGCTTTTGGCGTTATTGATTCAGCAAC